CAGCATGACTGTTGAAAAATAAAAAAAAAATAAAAAAATAAAAAAAAAACAATTAGTAATACTTATTGTTAATATATATTGTATTATCTGATTAGTAGAAGTGATTATATTACTAGTACTTTGAAGAAGCTACTCTAGCTAACTCATATTAATAATACCAAATAAATGCAGAGTAGAAATATGTACAGATAACATATGCATAATATTAGCAATAACAAAAAGTTTTAAGAATGAAAGTATATAATACTGGCTTAAAATCAAAAACAATAGCTTTTTATAAACAATAGTCAAAGCTTGCAGAAGCAAAAAAATACAATTAGAGCTAACTAAAGTAAAAGTATAAAGGTCCAGTGATCTTAGTGTAGTAGTTAGATTGTCAGACTGCTATGCAAGAGGTTTAGGATTCAAATCCTACTGTTGACAGAATTGAATAATTATCTAGACATCTATATCTAACTTACGGTAAACTCTATCTGTTTCTGGGAGTTGTAACCCTGTAAATCATATTGCACCAATATTATTTGAATATTAAAAGTGTAACAGAGTATCTGAAGAATATAATATTATATGAATAAATCTTGATAGGATCTATAAACAGGAAACCTGCATGGCTGAAATCCTGAGCTAGATGAAGTAGTACAGATTTCAATAGTCATACCAGTTAACGTTTGATCTGAGAAGGAAAATCTGTGTATAAAAAGATTAGCAACTAAGATGCGAATAAGTCTATTAGAAAACCTGCATACGAAAAGATCAGTAGAATAGGTATACATAAGCCTATTATATGAGGTCATATGGCAATACCAATTTGGCTTGGCAGCTAACTGAATTTGGGAGGATCTGTTCTGTATAATATCTGGAGGTACAGATAACTTTCAGCAACACCAATCTGAGTAGTAACCAGATTTAAGAGGGTCTATCTCATATGATATCTGGAGGCACAGATGACCAACTTAGTAGAAAGCTACAGTAGGAACTAGGTTTGTACAAATATTAAACAAGGGTATATACAAGCTAAATTGGGATATAGCATAGCATAGTTAGATACTACAGCACTCTATTGATTAGAGAGTTGGTAAAGAGGTACCTTGTGATAGAGCCTAGGCTCTGAATCATAAAGTTTGTGAACTAATATTAGCTCAGGTGTCTTCCAAAAAGAGAAGTAGCACAGGGTTAGATGAATTTTAGTAAAATAAGGATAGAATACGAGTAAGTATCATAGAGCCAGAGGGTTTAAATAGGTAATCTTCAAATAGATTGCAAGTATAGCAGCTAGTGTAGAACCTTTGAGCAGACTATTTAAATTAGACAATCTAAAGTTTTACATGTGACTAGTTGTACTCTCACAATATGTATCATTTACTCACTATCAATACCAGTAAAAGTTTCAGCCAATAGCACTTGTATAAAGAAAAAAAATAATAATAATATTTAATTAGAATTAATATTAATTAATATCAGACATATACCGGTTAAATTCATCTCAAAATAAATTCTATATAAAGATTACATAATAAAATCTACGTACCAAATAATTGTTATTATATACTAACAGCTAAGAAATATATTTTACGTATCTAATACGTATACGTACAGTATTATTTTTATTATTATTAATAATTAATAATAATATTTATAATAATAATAAAATAATCAAATTAGATATAACAATTCTTTTTTATATACTAAAAAAATTTTTTATACTATATTTTTAAATTATATTTTATTTCTTTCACAATAAAGTTATTATTAAATTTTTTATTGGTTGGAGCAGTAACTTATCAAAATTTAAGCTATAATGATGTGCTAATAAAATGTATATGAAACTAGAACTATCTTATTCAGTTTCATCAAAATTATTTTCTTGGATAGTATCTTCGATATTAAAATCATTTACCGATGCTTGCTCGCCTTTATTAAGGTCATCAGGTAAGAACTGAGTCGTGACATGAATATTACGAAATATTTGTTCAACATTTTTAATTTTCTAGAAAGTTGATAATCAAAAATTAAAAAAATTCTTAGTAAAAAATTATTGAGAGGTATGTTCAAAATATATCAACGAAATTGGTTAATGTCATATATAATTACTCGTATAAACAAACGTATAACTTCAAATTCTAACTAAACCTAAACCAGTGCATTTAATAAAAATATGATTTTAGATTCCTCTCAACATGCTATATAACATTACTGTAACGTTATAGAGCACGTTAAAAGGAATCTAAAAATCATATTTATTATAAACGTACTGGTTCGGGAATAGTTGGAATTTTGTATGTTAACAAATTATTATTTAAAGATCATTAAGATATCACTTACTTTTGCTTTACTTGATGAGCAAATTCGAAAAATTACCTCAGCCTTATCCTCAGCATTAT